CGCGCGCTTTACTTTGGTTATGTTATAATTCAACTTTGTTGATATATTCAAATTGTTCCTAACATAGTTTCTTGTTTATTACAACAGGAAAGAGGATCAGTTCACTCCAAGCTTAGTCACACAGAGATTTCCAAAGCCATCGAGAGTAACCAAAGAGAGTTTGAACATTGGCAACCAAATCTACCCGGGGTAGGTAGTTTATCCTTCAAATGCTCTCCCTTGTCACAGTTAAACGAAAGAATCTTGTCAACGTGGGTGACAGAAATAGCGTAAAGGCTTTGTCGTTGGCGCTGTTAGCGTGACAAAGGTAACGGAAAGCCTTTCTGTTGTACTGTTGCGCTAGAAAAAAGTGAGGGAAACCCTAATTTTTGGCAAAATCGAGTGCGACGCAGAGCCTTTGCTTTTGCACTGTCGTGCGTGTCTGGAATAACGCAAACCATTTTCTATCGAGCGATCGTGCGCGACAAAATCTTCTTTTACGCTGCTGTGCGTGACAAAAATAACGGAAAGTCTTTTCTTTTGCGCTGCCATGCGTGACACAAAATAACTCGGACCTTTTCATTGGCATCGTTTAGACTCTTCCCAGTGGCATGGCTTGTCACGTCCTCACAGAAATGTCCCCCGGTGGATCTTTGATGAGCACAACTTCCGAAACAAGCATGCAACGTAAGTATGAAATCAGAGCAAAGTTTGAGTTGGGTGATGAAAATTATCTGTGATTGCGTTAATTTCCGTAATATGAGCTCGAATTAGCTCCCTATGTATTAAAATGAATTGATTGATTGACTGTCTGACCAACTGACTTTCCGATTTTGACTGAGTAACCGACCGACTGACTGACCAACTGTCTGACTTACTGACTGACTGACTGACTGACTGACTGACTGACTGACTGACTGACTGACTGACTGACTGACTGAGTGGCTAAGCGACTGACTAACTGACTAATTGACTGACTGGATGACTGACTTACTGACTGATTGACTCACTGACTGACTCACATGCTGATTGACTCACTGAATGGCTAAGTGACTGACTAACTGACTGATTGACTGACTGACTGGATGACTTACTCACTGACTGATTGACTTACTGACTGACTCGCTTGCTGACTGACTCACCGACTGACTCACATGCCGCATGCCGATTGATTCACTGAATGGCCCAGTGACTGACTAACTGACTGATTGATTGACTGTCTGACTGGATGACTGACTTACTGACTGATTGACTCACTGACTGATTGACTCACTGATTGACTGACTGACTGACTCACTTGCTCATTGACTTACTGACCGATTAACCTGCAGATTGACGCACTGACTGACGCGCTGATCGATAATTGACTAACTCACTTGCGGACTGACTCACTGACTGGCTCACTTGCTGATTGACTTACTGACCGACTCACTCGCTGATTGACTCACTGACTGACTCACTTGCTGATTGACTCACTAACTGACTCACTTGCTGATTGATTCACTGGCTAATGACTGCCTGTCCTACTGCATAGCTGATTGTTTGGCTAATCGATTACCTTGCACTGTGTTGCATTGGTTTTGCATCACCAAGCCTTGTGATATGTCAAGGAAACTCGTGCCACCCTCTTAACCAATTAGATGCAAAGGTAAAACCAGTTGCGCTTTGGTAGCGAGCGTGTTCCTGAGCTCACTCTGAGCATTCACTGGTTCTTTCTGCTGATGTTGATCTTTGTTCTAATTGGCTATGGCTCTGACGAAGGGCTAACGCTCGCAACGTCAGCTTTGAAAGTCAATTTACATTATCAGCCCAGTTGATAAAACCCAAATTGCCTTGTTGCTCCCACCGACGGTTTCTTTGGAAACTCATCTCCTTTATGGAGTTACTGGTTTGGAACCTCAATGAAAACGATACAAAAAATTATTGTCAACCAGAAACATTTCATTAGTCATTAGTACAATCAAAGGCTCCTTAGAGCAACCTCATGGTATGAATTTTTGGCGCCCTTGACGTAACCTGCGATCTGGCTTTCTTAACTTTGGACACAAGGTCGCATTTCTTCACAAGGGAGAGCGAGCCGAACGAACTTTGAAAGCCCCAAACGAGCGATTTTGAGGCTTTCTGGCAGAAAAAAACACTTCCAAACAAATAATGAATTATTAGTCTTTATTCGGAGCTGATTTTTTTTGAAGACTGACTACTAGGGACAGATTCTAGAGGCAATATATTTGAACTACATTCGTAACGGCTATGCCATAGGAAACCATTACCATAGAAACCCGAAACCACATTTAAGATGGTAAGCCTGTGCTTTGGAAAGATTTTTTGATCGTGAGGCAACACGTGCTGGCACAGTTATTGTGATTGTAAGCGTTTCGATGGAGAAAAATTGTATTAAATTGCGAATGTGTGAAGAATTAGTTAAGGTACCGGCAGCTACAAGGTGAAATCAACGAAGTTTCACGCTTACCAATTTGCAATAAGCTAAAGCTCACTTCATATTCGCGGTGTTTGGGTCTTCACGCACGAATCGTTCATGTTATCATCACTTTTAGGACTCAGGCGCTCATTTCTCTGTTGTCGAGTATTCTGTAGCATATTTCCTTTCCATTTTTGGCTCCACAAAGGTATGTTTTGATCAAGTTTGGAGTAAAAAAAACCATCACGCTTCAAGGGACGGGACGCCATTTTGAATCTGTCCAAGTAGTTCGACATATCCTCTTTGTACCACCATATTTGTACACCGTGACTTTGAACAGGGAAACTTGTCGGGGAGGGGGAGAAAAACTGTTTAATCCAGGTTTAATGCATAAATTAATGTCTAACAAAGTGAGTGAGTGATTTTTAATTGAATTTCGCCCCCCAAACCCTAAACCTCATAGCGTGACTTACGTCATACCATGAGGTTAAAACGACGTGTTTGACTAAATTTCTGGATTGATGAAAACGATGCTTCAGATCTTTTGAGTTTTCTAGCCTTTGTTCCCTCTTTCATCAATGAAAGAAATATTTAACAAAGCGGAAAGAGTTAGCCAGTCGCTTTCTTGCGACACCGCTAAAACCACTTAGATTTTATTTTGTTTTATACGTATAGATTTAGTGTCTTCGTCAGTTCAGGCGGAAGTTAAGCTTCAGTACAACTCACTGTCCGAGCTCCTGAGACACTTTTGGTCGTGCTTTCCCATAAAGACACAGTTCTTGGAGGAAAAGGTGAGACGACACGGGGTGATAAGTTTTAATTTTTTTTTCTTTTTTTGCGTAACAGCGAGATGTCAGAAAGGTAAGAGTTAGCTGTTGTGTGATATACTGTATTTCCTCGATGAAGTGCTCTGCCCACCCCCGAATAAGCACCCACTCCAAGGGCCATAACGACAAATAATGCGCTCCTCTCGAATAAGCGCCCCCCTCCTCCCTCACTTTCTTGAATAGTAGGTATAACAAGGAAGACCTGTTTCTATCGCCACTTTATTTTATAACTTTTAAACCTCAATTTCAGAGGAATTATAATCGGAGAAAGATAAACGCCCCCTCGATTAAGCGCCCTCCTTCCGAAAAGCACCCCTCCTTCAAGCCGAGATTTTAAATAAGCGCCTAGACGCCTATTCAAGGAAAGACGGTATTCTTTCATGTTTTACACCACGTGGTGTAAGTTGTCATGCATATGCTAAGGTGAAATGGCTTGATTTGTGATTTCTTGGTTGACAGATGGTTAAAATGGGCCAAAGCCTTGAAAAGTACAGAGATGTTAAGCTGCAGCAATTCCGCAATCAGCTACCCGCCGAGGAGGCTCATGTAAGGAAGACTGTAAAATCTCGAAAGCTCCGTGTCACTGCATTGTACATTCGCCATCACTCAGTCCTCTCTAATCTTTCGTTTTCGCTTAAATTTTTTGTAAAACTGCGGATTCAATCAGTCGTTACCTTTTTCACTTTTCACCTTGTTATGGTTGTGTGGTAAAAGACCAAAAACAAAGACTTTTGCAATCGGCAACGCCAGTGCACACATTGTCTCTTACTCAGTACATAGTTCGCTCTATTAACTATGTTCAGTAGGACTTTATTTCGCTAGTAGCGTTATTAGGTCTCTTTGGTTTTTGTATATCGTATCTTTATATTTTTCTTTTCTTTTTTTTTTTTTTTGTCCTTATTTAGCTGGCTCATCACCTAGTAGAGATGCTAGACACTGCGCTAGTTACTGCGCTTGACGCTGTGCCGTACACTGTATGACTATATTTCACCAGTAGCGGTGTTAGGTCTCTTTTTTTTTTGTCTGTATCGTATCTTTATGTTATTCTCATTCTTATTAATTTTTGTCCATATTTAGCTGGCTAATCACCTTGTAGAGATGCTGGACACCGCGCTTACAAAGTACAGAACGTGGCTGGAAAAAAAGTCAGGCGCTAAGATCTCTAGTAGCTGACCGTGGATACAGGAGACTCGCTGCATTTCGTGATGTGAGGTGCAGTGGAGAGTAAGGAGACGCGGTCTTCTTATAAATGTTGGTCACCAAAGTGACACCCAAGATTTCTCCGCCTTTTTCAAGACAAACAGCTGACTGAGTTGTGTTTTTCTCTTTACTTATAACTCGAGAAGATTGTTTGTGGATAAATGAAGAACTTTGTCTACTTTACATTGGAACATTCTTGGACGAAATGTTCCACTTTTCAACTCTGCAACAGACAGTAAAAAGAAAGAAGAATGTCTGAATTGGACGTTGAAAATGTGTTGTCGCACCGTTAGTGAACTGATTGCTGTTTTTCATCAATTAACATTTTAAATAATGTAAATAATTTCATATATCTCCTTTTCAATTCCTTTTTGCTAAAAGTAAATTAGAGTAAAAAGAACGTTAAAGCCACTTCCGTAAATGGTTATATTTTTGCGTCCAAAAAACATAATGAATCCCTTACTATAAATCGTGTGCTTATTTTTACGTTTGGCAACTGAACAGAGCTCCTCACAGCATGTGGTTTTGTAGGTAAAAAGAGGACTAATCTGAAATAAATCAAAGGCTCCTTAGAGCAACCTCATGGTCTGAATTTTTGGCGCCCTTGAGGTAACCTTCGATCTGGCTTTCTTCAGTTTGGAAAGATTTTTTGATCGTGGGCAACACGTGCTGGCACAAATATTGTGTTTGTAAGCATTTTGATAGAGAAAAATTGTCTTAAATTGCGAATGTGTGAAGAATTAGTTGAGATACCGGCAGCTACAAGATGAAATCAACGAAGTTTCACGCTTACCAATTTGCAGAAAGGTTAAGCTCACTTCATATTCGCGGTGTTTGGGTCTTCACGTACGAATCGTTCATGTTATCGTCACTTTTA